TTTTGAACACTTGTACTGAGCACAGATTCTTGCTCCTGTTTAAACAGTTATGATTGAAGTGCAATACTTCTTAAAATTAAAGAAAAAAAGCGCTACTGAAACAGACTTGGCCCAGCCACCATACAGACAAGTGTTAGGCATGGTTCCCCACACACCACTACATGTCAGTCCTAATCTTCAAGACCATCTACAGTCCCAGTCCTGGACCTTGCTGTAGTAGCAATTATGAAATGCAGTAGAGCAGAGGTGGGCAATAATTTTTGCGGGGAGGGGGCACTCCAAGAATTTTGGTAAGTGGTCACAGGCCGCACTTTTCTATTATATTAATGGAGGGGGGCCTGGGATGGAGTTTAGGGGCAGGAGGGAGCTCCAGGAATAGACTGGAGCTCAGGAGAGGGTCTGGGAGGGAGTTCGGGTACAGAAGGGGATTTTGAACCCGGGGCAGGGGGTTGGGACATGCAAGGGATTGCCAGGTACAGGCTCCGGCTTACCAAAGGCAGTTCCCAGCCAGCGGCACTGCGGGGCATTCAGGCTGCATGCCGTGGTGGCCCCATGCTGCTCAATAGGAGCGGTGAGGATGGTGTTGGGGCCGAGGGCAGCGCGTGGAGACCCATTGCTCCCTACCCCAAGTTGTACACAGAGACATGCTCGCTAGCCACAGTGTTTCTGGGAGCAGTGTTGCTGGGGCTGCAGCAGGCAAGCAGCCTGCCCAAGCACCCCGCTGATCCGTGGGACATTTTCCTCCAACCCTACCATGGCAGGCCAGAGGAAAATGTTTGGGCAGCTGGATCCGAACCCATGGGCCATATTTTGCCCACCCCCCATGGGAGCAAGGGTTCTCAACTTCATTGAGACCACAGCCTGCTTCTGCCAACAAAAGTTACTGCTTGAACCCACCCACACCCCATTGCCCTGGCTGTTGGGTGCCAAAGCCCAAGTCCCACCTTCCAGAGCATTGGCTTCAGCCGCAGAAGAGGACCTGTCATCTGAGCCACAACGTCCAGGGCTCAGCGTTGGCCCTGGGAAGTAGGGCCTCAACTTCAGCTCTGGGTCCCAAGAAGTCTAAGCCAACCCTAGCAACCTCATACAGAGGGTTCTGACCCACTTTGGAATCCCAATCTACAGTTTTGAGAAATACTGCACTAGATGTTTGGTAGTTTCATCATAAGGACTAACAACTATTTTGGAAAAGACCCTCATAGGTTTATATTGTGACCTACATACTAGTTTATTGTATTGCAAATAAATTAAGTATTGTTTTCACTTGTAAATTGCAACAATGGACATCAAGGCTGTGTCTACATTGGCATCCCTTTCCGGAAAAGGGATGCTAATGAGACACTTCGGAATTGCAAATCCGCGGGGGATTTAAATATCCCCCGCGGCATTTGCATTTACATGGCTGCCGCTTTTTTCTGGCTCGGGGTTTTTGCCGGAGAAAAGCGCCAGTGTAGACGCGATTCTCTGGAAAATAAGCCCTTTTCCGGAAGATCCCATATTCCTACTTTCAAGTACTTTCAAGGAATAAGGGATCTTCCGGAAAAGGGCTTATTTTCCAGAGAATCGCGTCTACACTGGCGCTTTTCTCCGGCAAAAACCCCGAGCCAGAAAAAAGCGGCAGCCATGTAAATGCAAATGCCGCGGGGGATATTTAAATCCCCCGCGGATTTGCAATTCCGAAGTGTCTCATTAGCATCCCTTTTCCGGAAAGGGATGCCAATGTAGACACAGCCCAATAGATTATAATAAAGCAGCAATAATGCCACACTACGTGAAACCTGCAGGTAAAAGTTGTCTGGAAATATTTGCTGCATTTCTGTCACATAGATTCTAACCCTTACCTCAAAATAAGCGACATCGTTTGCCCTATGCAAATTGTGTAGTTTATTTCGAGGTAATTTTGAAATAAAGCACTATGCCGACAAGTCTCTTTATCCTCATGGAACAAGAGTTACAGGAACGCCAAAAAAGCTGTTATTTCAAAATATATTTTGAAATAATGGGCACATTTAAAGACGCGGCATTGCTATTTTGGGATACTTACATGTGGATGGTTTGGATGCTGAAGGTTATGAATCCCAAGGTTTCATTACGTTTTAAAACCAGACAATCCATCCATCTAACAATGATATAACAGATAATGTATTTAGTGAAGGAACATTTTATGAGGAGAAAAACAAACCATGGAGTCCTATGCAATAATTGATCATATGGATGTACTCTAGTGTGAATGCATTTTATACTCGTAGATCTTGCTGAAATTACTTCATGCCATCCTTAGTAATAGCATATTTATCACAGTCACATTTTCGAAATAATATAACAGGCAAGGAGGCTTAAGATTCACCCAAGTGAGATAAAACGTGCCCCAGAGCAGAATTTATACGAGGCCAGAAGCAAACAGAATCTGTACACAGCTGCTGAAGTATAATTTTACTGAATCCACATTTTCTTTATTGGGACATATGTTGCCTAAAGCATTCAGGTTACTCTGAGGCTGTTAGAATCCATCAGAGGGTGTTAAGCAAAAGCTTAGGCAAAAGAGTAAACATCATTATGAGAGGCAATGATGTAGTTGTCAGACCGTCAATCCCAGAGAGAAACATGATTCACTGTTTCCAGGACTTGGGATTGGAAAATGAAAATCTAAAATGGAAACCATGTGGATCTCCAATACTCTTAGATGAAGGACATTTCAATCATTGTTTTCTACCCATCATTGTGAGTCATAAAATGAAGGAAATATACTCAGGAGGGTAGTCAAGAGAAATAACTGTAATTTGTGGCCTCGTCATATTAAGAGTTATGAGACATTTCCCGCCCCTTCCCCCATACTTTCAGCTTCTAATTATTGTGATCTGTCATTAAATAAACCCTAACCAATGTAGCAATTTATTGTTAGAGCTAAATCATCACCTAAAGGGTTTCTTATAGGGGTGACTTACAAATGAATCCAGACTAACTAACAAAAGTAAAGCTTTCCTAACTACAGCTAGCAAATAAACACAGCCATGGGGAATGGATGAGGATCTTCTCCAGGGCTAGTAGCAAGTTCAGATTATCTGTACACACTGCTGATATAATAGCTAGTATGAAGTAAGCTGCCCATCCCAACCCACCACCTCATGGAAAAAATATGCATTTCATGCCCAATATAACAATTTACATCCTTCTTCTGAGGGTCAGCAGAGAGGTTGGAAAAAATATGCATTTCATGCCCAATAGAACAATTCACACCCTTCTTCTGAGGGTCAGCAGAGAGGGCATGAGTCAAATAGGAATAGAGGCCTAACAGCCCTCTCTGAAAACTGAAGCCCATTTAGGGACCATTCATGAGAGCTGCTGGGGGTTTAGGACTTTTGAAAACGATAAGGCAAATGTAGTGAGGTGCCAATATTAGGAGCCTAAGGGTACGTCTACACTGTAACACTATTTCGAAATAACTCGTGCTATTCCGGAATAACAGTCCACTCTACACAGCAGGCAGTTATTTTGAAATAGTGTCAAACTACTGTCAAGCTAGAGGACTTCTTACTCCAACTCCTGTAACCCTCATTGTAGGAGGAATAAGGGATATCAGAGGAAGAAGAGTGCTCCAACTTAAGAACAAACCTACAGTCCCTATCTTGTACGTAACCCGGGGACTGCCTGTATTTCGAAATAAGTGCTGTGTAGACGCTCCCTACGTTAGTATCGAGATACTTCTATGGCGTCTGAGTGCTGGTGCTGAAGCCTAACAGACACATGCTTAAAAGGACCCTCCTGCATAGCCGTTTCTCTGCTTCTACTGAGTGCTTCAAGGGACAGCAAAGCTCTCACAGTGTGTGCTGTGATTGCCCAGCTTTTTTGGATGCCACAGCTTTTTCCTTTGTGCCATGGAGCCGGAGCTGCCCCTGGCATGCAGTGGCCCCACACGGCCATGCTGCAGTTTCTGCAGCATTTTGTACCGGCTGCCTTCTTGGTCCTGACCAAGCTCAACCCCAAGATCATTCTGCGACTCTTCTCCCTGGGTGCAGGAGCAACACCCTTGTAACTGCAACTCACTGTGGAGAGGCAATTCTGGAGGCTGGACACCAGTTTGGACTGGTGGAACTGGCTGGTCATGGAGCAGTGGGGTGACCAGCAGTGGCTCCAAAACTTCCACATGCAGAAGGCCACCTTTTTGGAGCTTTATTTTCCGGAGAATCACGTCTAGACTGGCGTTTTCTCCGGCTTATCTCCAAGCCGGAAAAAAGCGGCAGCCATGTTAATGCAAATACCGCGGGAGATATTTAAATCCCCCGCGTATTTTGCTATTCCAAAGTGTCTAATTTGCATCCCTTTTCCGGAAAAGGGGTGCAGTGTAGACACAGCCTATATGTGCTTAAGACATACTAACTAGCAGTTGAAAGTAGCAGTCTGGGAGTTCAGATTTGTGGTGCTCCATCTTTGCCACGGACTCATTCCATGAACTTGGTCAATTCACTTAGCATTTGTGCCTCCATTTACCTGCCTATAAAGTGGGAGCAAGTTGCTTGCTCGCTCGCTCTCTAATTCTTGTTTGGAAAGAGCTTTGGCATCTTTGAATGCAAGGTGCTGAGGATATGCAAAAACCATTATTATCCTAATATAAAGGATGCGCAGTACAGAACAATCACAAGCATGGTTCGGTGTGATTTATTACGTTTCTTAAGAGAAAATTGTGGAGATTGGATTGGAAAGTTGATGGACTATCGTCATCAGACACTATTCTGCTGTAATGGAATAGATCTTATTGTCAGAACAGTAACTGCTGATCATAGAATTTTAAATATCCTTTTTATGTCATTTTAGAGCTATTTGGTGAGTCCTTCATAGCTATTTAGATCCGTCAGTACTGGTAAAATTGAAGTCTTGTGTTCACTAACCATTTGTGGAGGGGCACTGAATCCGATTGTTATGAACTTCCTGATTGAACATTCTTTTCTATCGATTTGCTCTCGGATAATGAGTACTTACTTTTCCTTTTTGTTGTAATTTAGGCTCGTCCAAAAGGAGAAGGTCTGACCCCGTACCAGGGCAAGAAACGGTGCTTTGGTGAATACAAGTGCCCCAAGTGCAAGAGAAAATGGATGAGTGGAAACTCCTGGGCTAACATGGGACAAGAATGTATCAAGTGTCACATCAATGTTTATCCTCACAAACAGGTAGGGTGGCTGCTATGCAGTGTGACCTCTGGAGATACAGGAATGGAATCAAGAGACTTCTGAGCTGACCTGTAAATCGGGGTGGGTCCAGATTGAAACTTGGGGGGACAGTGTACGGACAAGCCTTGTCACCGGCAGGTTTTTATTCCTAGTGAACACAAACAAGCAATTTAAATTCATCTAGCTACGTATTTGCAGCAAATATTATCATGGTTTTTATGACAAGTTATATGCAAACAAGATGCAGTGTCATAGCAAAACCAGAAGGGACCAGCAGATTATCTAGTCTGATGTCTTTTGCTCACGGTCTTAACGAGCTTGCCGATCATGGTCTCAGGGTTTCCAAATGTAGGCGCCCTGCTCTTCATTGGAAAACGCCTCCAGATTGGAAACAATAGGTCTTTATAGAGTGAACAATGCACTGTGGCCCCAACCCTGAATGGGACCTTTGAGATACTATGGTGAAACATAATAATAGCAATGGGACTCCTAATGTGAATGATTCTCCTCTCCCTGACACCAGCTTTATTCCTGCTTAGCTTAGAGGTGTAAAAGGTTAACTGGTTACACGGTAAGTGTTAGGCTGACCAGATGGCTTACTTGGTAACCAGGCTTACTTGGTAACCAGTTAACCGGACTGCCACCTGCATGGAGCTGGCTGACAGGAATCTGATGAGGTCCAGGTGGCAGGGAGGGTACATGGCGGGCAGGCAGGACCAGCTACGCTGCATTGGCCCCAGATCTCAGCTCCAGCACATCCACCTGCAGCAGTGCCAGTGGTCCTGTCCCCACAAGCCCCAGACCCAGTGGCCCTGGCTTCTGGCTCCCACAGCCCTGGCCATGCCGCAGACCTGAGTCCCCCAGCTCTGTCAGCCTTGGGACCTGCAGCCCACAAAGAGCCCTGTATCACACAGAGTTGTGTAAGGTTAAAGCAGCATGGGGAACTGTCTAGTAAGGAACAGAGAAGACATTTCTGTAAAACAGATAGAACAGACTGTGAATCTGTAAAATTTAAAGAGCAAATCAAACTACTGGCTGTCCCACCACAGAGTTCAGACCTATTTGCAATAGGTAGAAAGAAAATTGATCGAATAAAAATGAGGTTAGATGTTCCACAGGCAGTCTCTTTGGCCCAAATATTTAGTAGTATTTAGACATCTAAAGTTGCTTTACAAATCCAAATTGAGCCACAGAATCATTTAACACGTGCATGGCAGCCCAGTCTTTAGGGCCACATAGATAGGGAAAACCCTGGTTCCTAACACGAGGTTATATGGGACTCTTTATGTAGATGAGTTAAGCAAAAGACAGCTCATGTGGACTGCATGATTCAGCATCCTACCTTGACTGTCATTAAAGTGAACTAACGATCATTAGATGACCCTGAAAGCATTGTCAGGATGCTAGATGCCCCAGAAATGACTTAGAGTAGTTAGTTGCCAAAGGGGCATCCCCCATATGTGGCAGGCTACACATCAGAAAGCATAATAAGGATTCATAGTGGGGCCTTAATTAAGGTCCTTAATGCTTTGTGGAACACATTATATATCCCGTTACTTGTCCTCTGATCCAAATAATCCAGTATTTTTCGAGTGGCCCATAAACAATTAAGTGTGTGGGGGGGTAGTTTTGGAGGGTTTTTTAGGGGAAAAAAAAAGATTAGTAAATCTAAATGATTGAGGCTTGATTTTTTTAAAGCCCCATATTCCAAAGGCTGTGAAGTAAAGTATGTGTGCATTTTATTTGCACACACAATAAGGCTACGTCTACACTGGCCCCTTTTCCGGAAGGGGCATGTAAATTTCACCAGTCGTCGTAGGGAAATCCGCGGGGGATTCAAAGTAGGAATAAGACCCTCCGGAAAAGGGCACTTTTTCCGGAGGATCGGGGCCAGTGTAGACGCTCTTTTCCGGCTTTTTTAAAAGCCGGAAAAAAGCGGCGGACATTTTTATTTAAATGCCGCGGGGGATATTTAAATCCCCCGCGGATTTCCCTACGACGACTGGTGAAATTTACATGCCCCTTCCGGAAAAGGGGCCAGTGTAGACGAGCCCTAACAGTGTTTGAACATGCAAATCAGTGGTTTGCAAATCATTAAATCCAAAGCAGACTGCAAAGAGTTACAAAGGGATTTTACAAAACTTTAGGTGACTGGGCAACACAATAGCAGATGGAACTCAATGTTGATTGATAAATGCAAAGTAATGCACATGGTAAAATATAATCCCAAATGCGCATACGAAATGATGGGGTCTAAATTAGCTGAACCCATCAATAAAGAGATCTTGAAGTCATTGTGGATAGTTGAGTAAAAATGCCTAGTGGCAATTAAAAAAAAAAAGGAAGAAAGAAACTCAACAGGATTATGGGACTCATTAGGAAAGGGATAGATAAGACAGAAAAAATCATATTGCCTTTATATGGGGAAAAATTATTCTCCTTGGGTACATCTACACTTGCTCCCTAGTTCGAGCGAGGTATACAAATGTAGCCGACTGAAATTGCTAATGAAATGGGGTTTTAAATATCTCGCACTTCATTAGCATAATCTCACCCGCACGTTATTCCATTCAACAGCTGATTCGAACCAGGAAGTGTGCTCTGGGACGCATTAGTTCGAATGAAACCCCATGGTTCAAACTAACGTTACTCCTCAAAAAATGGCACCCTGTCCCCAAGGGACCCAGCCTCAGGCGCAGGGGCAGATGACCGTTTTGCGGGGCCCCGGGCAGCATAATTCCGCGGGCCCCCCCTTTTGCCACGGCGCATGCTCAGTGACACTATGCGCATGCGCGTTAGCACCACGGCGCATGCGCGGGGCTTTTTGAAGCACGGGCGCTCGCCCTGCCCTATATCCGCCCCTGCTCGGGCATTATCAGGGAGGCCAGGCATGGGGAGACTTGGCCTTAAAAATAGTTACACAAAACCACTCATGACTTCCATTAATTAGAACATAAGGATGCTCATACTGGGTCAGACCATGTCCTTGTCTTCTGACAATGGACAGTGCCAGAAATCCCCCGCGGATTTCCCTACGACGACTGGTGAAATTTACATGCCCCTTCCGGAAAAGGGGCCAGTGTAGACGAGCCCTAACAGTGTTTGAACATGCAAATCAGTGGTTTGCAAATCATTAAATCCAAAGCAGACTGCAAAGAGTTACAAAGGGATTTTACAAAACTTTAGGTGACTGGGCAACACAATAGCAGATGGAACTCAATGTTGATTGATAAATGCAAAGTAATGCACATGGTAAAATATAATCCCAAATGCGCATACGAAATGATGGGGTCTAAATTAGCTGAACCCATCAATAAAGAGATCTTGAAGTCATTGTGGATAGTTGAGTAAAAATGCCTAGTGGCAATTAAAAAAAAAAAGGAAGAAAGAAACTCAACAGGATTATGGGACACATTAGGAAAGGGATAGATAAGACAGAAAAAATCATATTGCCTTTATATAAATCAGTGGTATGCTCACATATGGTATGTCTACATTTGCTCCCTAGTTCGAGCTAGGGATGCAAATGTAGCCTACCAAAATTGCTAATGAAGCGGGGATTTAAATATCCCGCACTTCATTAGCATAATCTCGCCTGCACGTTATTCCATTCAACAGCTGATTCGAACCAGGAAATGTGCTCTGGCACGCGTTAGTTCAAATGAAACCCCATGGTTCAAACTAACGTTACTCCTCAAAAAATGGCACCCCGTCCCCAAGGGACCCAGCCTCGGGCACAGGGGCAGATGACTGTTTTGCGGGGCCCCGGGCAGCATAATTCCGCGGGCCCCCCCTTTTGCCACGGCGCATGCTCAGTGACACTATGCGCATGCGCGTTAGCACCACGGCGCATGCGCGGGGCTTTTTGAAGCACGGGCGCTCGCCCTGCCCTATATCCGCCCCTGCTCGGGCATTATCAGGGAGGCCAGGCATGGGGAGACTTGGCCTTAAAAATAGTTACACAAAACCACTCATGACTTCCATTAATTAGAACATAAGGATGCTCATACTGGGTCAGACCATGTCCTTGTCTTCTGACAGTGGACAGTGCCAGATGACTTAGAGGAAAAGAACAAAGAGCATTTTTCAGTGGCCCATCCCATTGTCCTATCCCCACTGCTGCCAGTCAGAGATTTAAGGATGGCATCCCAGGGGCCACCTTGGTGAAGAGCTATTGATGGACCTATCCTCCATAAACTTAGCTAGCTCTTTTTCTAACCCACTTATAGTTTTGGCCTTCATAACATCCCCTGGCAACAAGTTCCAAAGGTTGACTGTGCATGATGGCATGAAGAAGCATTTTTTGTTGTTTGTTTGAACCTGCTGCCTACTATTTTCAGTGGGTCACCCCTCGTTTTCGTTGACGTGAAGGGATAAATAATACTTCCTTATACACTTTCCTGACACCGTTCATGATTTCTTGTTAGTTGTCCCTTTTCTAACATGAACAGTCCCAGTCATTCTAATCTCTCCTTATATGGAAGGTGTTCCACACCCTTAACCATTTTGTTGCCTTTTTCTTTACCTTTTACAATACTAATGTAACTCCTTTGAGATGGAAAGACCAGAAGTGCATGCAGAATTCAAGGTGTGGATGTATCCTTGCTTACATAGTGGCATTTTACATCAATTTAGAACATAAGAATGGCCATAACGGGTCAGACCAAAGGTCCATTTAGCCCAGTCTCCTGTCCTCTGACAGTGACCAATACCAGGTGCCTCAGAGGAAATAAACAGAACAGGGAATCATCAAGCAATCCATCCCATATCGACCATTGCTAGCTTCTGACAAACAGAGACTAGGGACATTCCTGCCCATAATTGCTAAGAGCCATTGATGGACCTTTCCTCCGTGAATTTATCTAGCTCTTTTTTGAAACCTATTATAGTCTTGGACTTCACAACATCCTCTGGCAAAGAGTTCCACAGGTTAACAGTGCATTGTGTACAGAAGTACTTCCTTTTGTTTGTTTTAAACCTGCAACCAATTAATTTCACTT